TATCTATATAATGTGTGTGTGTGTGTACTATAATATATACTATATTCATTACAGGTCCCATCTAAGGAGAGCCGTAGCAGCCATCATGGAAAGAGTGGAAGCTGTGGACCTGGCCTCCCATGGCTTCATGTCCAAAATGTTGGACATCGCATTGTCCATATTTGAAAAATGTCTGGATAACCAAAGCAGTATGTATTGAAAATGCAATTTTGGGGGTTATTAACTTATATGTTATATGTTATTAACTGCCAAACTATTTTATCTAACGTAGCTAACTGCTGGCATCTAACTTTGGGAAGCAAGTACAGTCATTGACATCAACCTCTTTGACACAACATAAAAAAGTTTAAACAAAATTAGGCCTACTTTTTGTATGCAGACCTTTAATTTCCTGCTCCCCACCTGCCAGTTTTATATGTATGAAAAAGTACAGATAGGTGCCAATACAGTGACTTTTCTCTGTCAGATTCCACCATTGACCTCCATAGTAAAACTGGAGAGAAAAAGTAATAGAAGTTGCATCTTTCTGTACTTTGCTCTTCAGCCTCCTACAGACTGTGAGACTTCAATCGTATGTCGTATCCTAAGTCTGGTGCAAGCTACACTGTGTGACATGGATCTAATAAACTTGGGTACAACATCAAGTTTGATGTACACCTACTGAATCACAGGCTACGAATACGATGCAATAGCTTCCTATACTGAGTGCACAAGGATACTGCACGGATTATTACTTCTCCAACTGTGAAGCACAACATAGAGGGTCACATTATTAAGTTAACTAAAGTTTTGTGGGCAGAAATACTACGATGTTTCTGTGTGTGTTTGCTAGCTGCTAGGTTGCTCACCTGACAGCTGCAACTCCACTGCTATTTTCTTCCATGCTTTGTCCAGGCAAGGCTTCTGCTGCCACAACTCTACAAGGTTTTCCTCTTTGCTGGATTCTTACACATTTCTTTTTGGGCATTTTGCCTCCATGGCAAGCTGCTATCCATCTGTTTGTTTGGGTGTAGCACCAGTGTGTCATTTCATGCTACATTTCTATTGGTTGATTAATAGATGTAGGTTGTAACAGCAGTCACAATGTGAGATGGTCATCCCAAATTTTTGACTCCGTTAGAAGTTTATCCCAGGCTGTCTTTGATCGCAAGACCATGACAATGGCCATAATTGAACCTCTCTCACTGTGCGACTTAGGCCCACCATCTTTAGTCTGGGACAGCCTAAAATTGCACAGTGTATATCGGGCTTTAGATGGTTAATTGGAAAGGAGGCTGGTTTAGTGGTAAAAGTTGTGTCATGATAGTTTTTTTTAATCAAATGATTTGGTTATTTTAGGATGAATTAATGATTGAGGCTTTTCATTTTCAATAGACTCACCGGTACAAACTGTCTTCCCATCTACCAGCACCCAGCAACAGCCTGCACCCATCAAGCCCTCTACTTTCTCCACCCAGCACACTCCAACAGCAACTCCTGCCCCCTCTACACCAAAAATTTTCAAAGAAATTTACAGCATACTCCCTTTATCATCCGGTGGGAAAAAGAAAAGGTATGATTTGTCTAATAGTATTTTGATATAAAACGTTAATTCCAGAATTCTGGACCTCTAGCACTATTTCCTACTTACCAATGACATTGTCAATCAGTTGAGTCCTTTCTCTGCACAATCCATGCTGTTTTTCTTACTGGATACCAGCAGCTCCAGGTAGTAAGCCATAAAACTAATGCAAAGTCAATGGAGCTCCAGTTTGTATAAACCCCACAGTACTGACAGTGCACCCAGAGTGTTCATGTTTCTCATTTGACATACTGCATTGTCTTTGCTGTGTTGTAATGTGATCATATGTGTCTACACAGAATTAAAGTCACAGTGGATGAACTGGGTCGCAGGGTAGGTCCTCCGGAATACATGTCATTTTCGTCCATAGCGACATACTTAAGGACAGATAATAACGCAAGGAAAGAACTGCAAGCCCAGCTGGAGGATGCTGGGATTAAGCCCACCCAGGTTACAGCCAAGGTGTCCCTGTTTTCTCGGCTTTGTGAAGGCAAGCTGTGTCATTTTGTCTTAAAATTTTCATAAATTACTAACACATACCTTATTGAGGCAACAACTTACTGTTTTTCTTTACTATTTTCTTTCATCAGAAGAGGTAGATGCATTATGTGAGAGCCTTGCTGTCCTGGTGAGAGACCATCTTCCCTTTGAAGGTCTCCATGTCATTCCTGAGGCAGAGGATGAGATGGTGACTCTGAGGAGTTTGTCTGAGTTCCGGTATGTTTCACACTCAGTATACATTATGTACACTCGTTTTAAAGTTTTACCCTCATAGTGCATAGCATTATGCATAGCATTATGAACATTCTAAAACGGTTTACTCTTGTTGCGGGTCTTTGGTCTGAACTCGGTTTAATAGCCAGGCGTGGCAACGCATTTTGACAGATAAATGCCAGTCTAACCACTGATGCTGCCAAGCAGTTCATTTTCATTTCATTTGACTCAACAAGCTGATCAGAAAGGCCAGTGACGTTGTGGGGGTGGAGCTGGACCCTTTGACAGCAGTGTCAGACAGGAGTATGCTGTCTAAGGTGCTGGCGATATTTCAGCATGGCTCTCACCCTCTCCACAACGCTTTGGTCGAACAGAGGAGCACCTTCAGCCAGAGACTGATTGCTCCTAAATGCACCACTGAGCTCCTCAGGAAGTCATTCTTATCTGTGGCCATTAAACTGTACAACTCCTCCCTCTGATGATCGGACTCATTTGGCTATTTATAAAACAAAACACACAATATAATTACTCATTCTTATTTCATTTGTAACGCTACAACCATTTCATTGTATATTGTATATATTTCAGATTGTCTGCTTTACTGTTTTATTATTTATTTTATTTTATTGTCTACTTTAATATTTTATTTTATTTTATTTTATTTAAATGTCTACTTTAATATTTTATTTTATTTATTTCATTGTCTATTTATCTTTATCTCTTGTTTCCATTCATGCTGTATTTCTATTTCTACTTTGCACGGAGCATTGGAACAAAAACAATTCCCCCCCGGGGATTAATAAAGTATTCTGAATCTGAATGTGAATCTGAATTCATAGAAGTTCTTTGATATAAAACCTCTTAAAGCCCACGGTGTTGTCCGCTACGCGCTTGAGCTAACGTTAGTTAGCTGCTTAAATCACACATACAAATTTAAATGTTTAAAATTTTGTGAATATGAAGATGGTACACAATTTAATTTCTACAACTTAATCATTCAGTTCATTTTACTGAAACCATGAGCACTAAAATACAATTCATTCATATTTATAGGCAAGGTAATGAGAAAGAAGAAACAAGGTGATGACTCCCTCCTTCTGAAACAGTCCTAATGTCCAAATGTGGCTGGTCTCAGATAATCTTGCAGTTGAAGATGCTGAATTTGGAGGTCCTGGGCGGGTGTAGTTATGTTGTCTGTGGTTGTGAGGCTGGTTTGGTGTACTGCCAAATTAATGGAATCAGTATTGGAGACAGCATATGGTAGTGAAATGAACATTGGTGGACGTTCCTGCAGTCAGCATGCTAATGACAAGCTTAGACTGTCTAGTCCTTTTATTGTTACCATCCCAAGGCACACCTGTGTAGTAATGATCAGCATCTTGGTATGCCACACCTGTCAGGTGTGCCACCTCATCACATGGAATAAATGCTTCAGTGGTGGATAGCATTCAAATCCAATTCCTGACACACACACACACACACACAATTGTACAATGTGCACAAAACACTGAAATCCTTGTCCTAACTTTATGCAAAGTCATAGTGTGTGGTGTACAGTGCTTCTAAAAGTTAATATGTATGTATTACAGGTCCCATCTAAGGAGAGCCACGGCAGCCATCAAGGAAAGAGTTGAAGCTGTGGACCTGGCCTCACATGGATTCATGTCCAAAATGTTGGACATCATGCTGTCCATATTCGAAAAATGTTTGGACAACCAAAGCAGTACGTATTGAAAATGCAAATTTTGGGGGAAATATAGTTTATGATTAGCGGACCCAAGTGGAATTTGTTAGTTTTCAGTGGTGACCCAGAATGAAAATCTGTGGGATTTACGTTTTTCTTTTTTTTGCTTGTAATGTGAAAGATAATATATATATTTTTTAAATGTGCAAATGAGTCATTGCAAATTCACTGTGGGCCTGGTAATTAACTACCAAACCAAACCCATGTGGTGTAACATAGCAATCTGATGGAAAAACTTTACACTCCAATGTTTTTTAACTGCCATAGTCATTGTTATTACTGTATTATGCAGTAAAATAAAATAAAAAATACCAAGGGTGTAAAAATGTGATGGTCATTTTTTTTTAAAATTTTATTATTGTTTGGTATGGCTGTGACATGCAGAACGTGGAGTGACTATAACCAAAAACAAAGTAGGAACTCTACCTCCTCTCTTCCCTCTCTTAGAGGCAGGATGTTGATTTTTGATTACTCTCTTTATGTATCGTGTCTTGTTTATGTATGCATCTCGTCTGTTTTTCAGTTGGTGGCTTAATTCAAGTCGCTATAGCCGTTAAAGGGAAACTTAGACAAATTTTTTTTGCAGAGGGTGAAGCCAAGCTAACCTTTTCAAGCCAAACTAACCCTAAACACAACAGTCACACAATAACACAAACAAACTGCAAACGGTGCAGTGGTAAACCAGCAGCTCCCATGTTCAGCAAGGTAAAATTACCATTTTGTCAGTGTAGTCTGGTTTTGAAGAGAGCATAAGTTTTACTTGTTGTTCAGCTCCCTGTCAAAACGAGCTGTCTGTTTGGAAAGTACAAGAGTTTCCCACGATATATCAGTTTTAAGGTATACTGTAATATGAAAATTGATTATCATACTGTGTGCATTCATCTACGATATTGGGAAAAAAAATGCAACTGGAAGAAGAATCTCAACTATATTTTAGTTATTTTTTGGGATGCATGTCATTGGTATCAGCTGATATTGGCTTTAAAATGAACTATCACAATCTGCCCTTTTTTAATTTTGCACAATGAATGAATATATCATACATTAAAGAGTATTGTGTTTCATGTCTCCATCTGCTGATGGGCCATCACGACAAGGGTATGCATGTATAATATGATGTTAATTCCACTACAGAAGTGATTGATGATCACTAAACTTAGGTCGAGAAAAAGTGAATATATCGATATCAGTATTTGTTATCAGCCAGATGAGTTGTTATTTATCAGCATATCAGATATCAACAAAAAATCCATTATTATGCATCCATTGTCATTTTCACAAGGGAGACTTTTTACACATACTTACATTAAAAAATCGTTTCAAGTCTCAATAACAGTAATAAAATGTTTGTTCACTCAAAGATAAGCCTTCTATTTTTTTCTTTAAGGGTCATTCTGACTGATATTAATAATTCTGTAAAACCATAATACTGAGACATTTATTGTACCATGAAAATCTCATACTGTTGCATCCCTAGAAAGTACTGAGCATATGATTAGATAAATGAGACCTGGATTATACTGCTGGAGCTGTGTGAGAGTTTGTAAACAGATGTTTTGATATAGTTTTGTTGTGAAATGTGGACTCCCCTGACTTAAATTGATCAAGAATTGTCTGTGTTTTTGGATTCTTCATTTATGGAGGTGTGTGAGAAAAAGTTTTCTTTATGAACTCAGTGTAAGTGGCAATTAATGTAGAAATGGTCATGTGGGGGTTGAAGTATTCCTTTAATCTAGAGTGCATATTTTTCATCAGACATCCCAGGAACAGACTCAGCATGTCCTTTCTTCCAGCCAGTTCCTCTGTCAGCTCAGAATAACAGCCGAGCAGCAGGAGCAGTGTTGTTCTAAAACTGGAGCAACACTCAGCAATTTAGCAGCACTTAACAGACAGTCACAGAAGGGATCACAAAATACATGATGGCTCAGCACTTAAGTAGATTTTCTGCAAGATGTCATTCCCACTCATTTAAGTTGTTTCCTACTGTATACTGTAGAGGGCGCTACTTAATAAAACCGATCTAAACTCTGCCAAATTCAGCCATTACTGCAACTCTGTTGTGTGTATCTGTCAAGTAAACTACTGTAAAAATGACTACTTCCGTTTACTCCTTTGAAAACAAAGGTATATTCGGCCAAGGCTACGTCCAGTTGCCTGTTTGAGCCATTAATGCTTTTTATTTTGAAGACAGATTCTTGTTACATCCGGTATCCTGTCTCTAATTGTGACAAACTTAACTACTGTCTTTCGGCATCATCCAAACATTAGCTTGTTGGGTAGCATTTAGCTAACGTTAGCCAAACTCTTCGGGAAAATAGAGCCCTTCGCTAAGCTAATCTATGAGTCGCAAAAGAAACCATAGCTTCGCTGAAACGAGCCTGTCTCCTGAACTCCACGGCGCGTTCATGGAGCCTCCTGGGTCAGCGAACCGAGCTGACGGTGATTTCCTGGAGCTGGAGCCCGACGAGGAGCTGCTCTGCTCGGTCAGCGACATCACCGAGCACCTCGGCAGAAACATCACCGTGGTGCTGGAGACAGCGCTTTCTGAGATCCGCAAAATGGTCAGCATCAGGATAAGAGTCCTGAAAATGGAGCTACGCGAGAAAAGCGAGGAAATAGAGGTGCTAAAGGCGAGACTAGAGACAGTTCAGAGGGATGGTAGGGACCCTTTCCCCGGCGTTCCCACCATGGAGCCGTCTGCAGATGCTGGCTTCAAGAAACATGACTTCAGCTCCGGCAACAAACACAATAGTATCGATCCCAGGAGAGCCAAGGCTGTCATGCCTGGTGTGAAGAAGGAGAATATAGATGCTATTTGCGACTATCTGATGAAAGACAAGAACTCGAGAGGGTGTGCTGAAATGGACGGAGACCAGAGTAGCCAAGCCAGCGGCGACAGGGAGGCTCGCCAAGATCCGGACCCGCAATCCCTCAACCTGTGGTCAGACAGCGGCATGGCTGGCTCCGGGCCCGGGCACGGAGACTCCGAGTCTACCACAGATGACCTTTTCAGTATGCTCCCCTCTGGCAGTAAACGGATGTATGACTACGAATGGATAGCACCAATGGAGTATTCTTCAGACCTGAAAGGTAACCACACAGGTGTGTGAGTGACATGCACTGTGTAAAGCTATGGGGTTCATTACTGCCAGCAAAACTGATAATAAGTAAGAATGATAACAAATAGAAATACTTTTGCCAAGTGGTATTGTAGATAATAAGTCAAAAGTTTGACATTCTAAGATAAAATTTTGAGTAAGTCAAAAAAGGGGGAATGTTGGTGCACTGGTTAGCACTGTCACCCCACAGTGCTTTGTTCTGGATTTGAACTTGCCAGCTGCAACCTTTCTGGTTCCCCTTTTCAACCAAATTATGTCTGGCCAGTTGCACAAAATGCCCCAAGTTTTTCCCCTAAGTATTACACTTTTTAGGCTTAATTTTGTCTCAGCTGAGGGACTTACTTGAGGGTATTGCACAGAATTCCTTAAAAAAGTTTCCTAAGTTATTTATGCCATTAAAAGAGATACTGTACAGTTTCCATGGAGACTGTTTGCTTGCACACGTTCTAGTGATACCTGTTATCGCCTCACCTGTTATTGTCTCACAGGGTAGGTCTATAAATAGTGAAGAAAAGAAGATAAGAAAAGAAAATTGTTCAGAGGAGGAAAATGTCAATAATTCCGGACAAAGATAGTAAAATAACGCACACGCAAAATAAATGCATCATAAACTGAGGGCATTGCACATTGCACAGTGGAAGTAAACAGTAGTAGAAACTAGGGTTGCAACGGTATTCGATATTCATCGTACGATTAACTGTATCAGAAAGTATCGTGGTTTCATGGTATAGCAATATACGGTATTACACAATTATAATAATTATTATCAAATAAAAAAACAGTTAAAGGAATGAAAACAAAGTTGTTTTTTTTGGTTGAACAAAGACTTTATTATTATAACTTAAACTGAAGCCATTTTTTCATTGAAGTATGTGTCTCCCTTTTTAAAATAAATAAAATATAGGCTAGTTGAGATTGTTTTGTCTGGTTGCATTTTATTTTTGAATTACCATAGATGAGCAAATGTACAAGAAATGATAACCATCAATTTTCATACCATGATATACCTCAAAACAGGTACTAATGCAACCCTAGTAGCAAGATGACATCTTGCATTAGCCTACCTGCGTATTTTTGTTCTGTTAATACAGATATTTGGTTTTATCCAATCATGGACCAACAATTAGTGAAACCACTGCACGCTCTCTTTTTCTGATGATTTCTCACTTACTGTCTCTGTTGTTGCCTTCTCCATCTTCTCTTTCCAACTTGTAGAATAGGACATGGCCACTGAAATTGTCACAGCTTGCACTTCACGTTGAGCAAAACCTGCTGTATTAAGTTTTAGCTGGGAACTATGGACAGGGTAAAAAAATTATACAGCGTTGTATCGTGACATTTTGTGTAGCAATATTGTATTGATACACAGATGCCAAGTATCGAACTTCTATTATATACATTATTATTTTTTTGTAAATACAACTTTTGGTACTAGAATAATAAAATTAATTGCTTTTTCAGTCCACTAGATGGTGCTGATGTTAGTGGCATTTGGCAGGAAATTAAAAAAAAGAATAGATAGAGGGACCGGAGAAAGAAATCAGAAATGCACTGTCAATGTTTAGATCAAACTTCTGGACTTATTTTGGGGTTTTTAACACTGAAGGAAAGGAGGACTTGGATATGACACATGCGATTTTCGAGTAGTGATATATGACAATAAAATACAAATGTACATGGGGGCTCACGTCACGCTTCATCCAGACATAGCGTTTAGCTGCTAATGCTAAGCCCGCTTTGCAGAAAAATCAATCAACACTGGACACACTTAGCTTAAAAAAACTACCATCCAACTCTGAGAGAGCTCAGAAAACAACACAGTCCATCACCTACTTCATGTGCAAAGATCTGCGTCCATACAGTGTTGTTGAAAACAAAGTCTTTTGTTACATGCTAAAACACAGGAACCCAGGTATGTTACTCTTCCCCGACATTTTTTAACCGACACAGCTGTACCCAAGCTCTACAAAGAACGGAAGAATAAAGTTGAGGAATCTTTGAGTACAGCAGGTACATAGATACATAGATTTTATGATGGTGTTGGTCAGTTTGTCTTTTTTTTTCCCAGTCATGAAGGATCCCGATTGTGAGAGCAACCTGACCGGTGAGACAGAGGATGATGATGAGGATGAGTTGTCGAGGAGGGAGGGAGGTGGACTGGAGCAGGCCCAGGCCCCGCTCTCACACGTCCAGCCCTCTGAGTTCTCCATGGAGCCCCAGAGCTCTCCAGGGGAGGGAGGGAGTCCACTGGAGGGCAGCACAGACAGGCCTGTGGCAGGTGGGTAAGACTGGGGAGAAGGAAAAGGAATGATTGGGAGAATTACAAACACAGGACAGACTTTGCAATAAACTTTAAAGATAAATTGATAAATGTTTGTGTAAGCTGGAACAGGTTCAATGATGGTCACAACAGGTCATGAAGCCAGTGTCATGTATCAGCTGTAAGCTTCAAAGCTGCACTAAGGCTCACCCTAATATTAATATCAACACTATTTGGATATGCTGAAAACTATATCCTTTTTTACAACACAGTAACCATTACCCTGCACTTTTATTCATGTATTGTGCCATCATTTTCAACTTGCACCTCCCTTTATTCTACATGCATATATTTTTTCCCAGTTTCAATTTAGATTAGCAAGACTGCAGAATGAGAGCGCAGGACTATTGTATGTTCTGTGGTTCTGATTGGTTGTTTTATTGATTTTTGTTTGTTCCACAAATCATGTTCAGCATCAGCATGGATAGTAACTAAGGGTGTCATCAGTTTCAGATTATTTTGCTTTTGATAGCCCAACACCCATGAAGCACCCACTCACTGGTTAATCTTTTCAGAAAAAAAGGCAAAATGGTGTGAAATACAAGAGGTCATTCCTGTTAGGCCAGCACTCTATTGACTTAGTGAGCTTTAGTACCGCATTTAAAAGCGCTATCCACTTAGAGGTGCTGAAATTTCAATGTTTTGTGATGTAAATGTTTTGCCTTTTATTTTGTTTTCTGTTGGCTTTGCTGAACGACAGCCAGCTAGCTGTGTAAACATTCGGAAAACATAGTGCCCACTGTCCACCCTTTGGTCCCCATTGGTTAGCTAAGGTTAGCCTTGGCCGCTCTGCACTGTGCACCAGGTAAATATTCTTGACTGTTAAGTGATTACTGGTTAACATCTCTAATAGTAACCTTGAAATACTTTTCAACTTAATATTATGTATACGGTTTATTTATTTACCTAGTTTACTGTACTTCTTTGGCACAAGCATTTTTTTTCAGGGATTCAGTTCTATCTCATCTTATAATTTAATGAATATGAAATAACAACTTTAGAAAACTAGAACAAGCATAATTTGTGAATAAGTGTCAGCAGTTCTGTCTTTAAAAATCTAACTTTGTCTTTGGAAAGAAATTCTGTAATTTTACAGAAGACAGTTCTGATGACAAAAATTACTTAAAATATAAAATTATGTTCTTTTTTATTACACAGCATTCATTCAGCAGCAGATGATGATGATTTCTTTAATTTGTATCTATTGTGACCTTTAAGTCACATGACTGACTGATTAACTGTATATACAAGTACCAAAAACAACCTCAGACACGGCCCTGATGAAAGCAAGATGGCTGACAGTGTATGTTGAATAAAGCATGGTGGACTGGCCAACAGTTGTCTGATACCGGTTGGACAGTTTGCTATCATTTAGGCATTAATGAAATGAAGTGTGTTTGTGGTTTCAGGCCAGCAGTTTCCCGGCCACACCTACATCTGCTCTCTGTGTGGAACCTTCTGCCCTGACTCTGTGTTCCTAGAGGAACATGTCAAACTGATACACTCAGACTCTGCTGGTGCCCAGGCTCTCCAGGCTCTGCAGTCCACCTGCTCAACTGCACCTGCCATGGGTGATGGCAGCAGTGACTCCAGGAGGGGCGGAGGGGTGCAGAACGAAGATGGCACAGGAGTAGGGGCTGGTTCGGGGCGGGGAGGGGGGCATGTGAAAAAGGAGATTAAAATCGAGGGGGGGTACGAGTGCGGGGACTGTGGCCGCCATTTTAACTACCTTGGCAATCTGCGACAGCACCAGCGTATCCACACTGGAGAGAAGCCCTTCATGTGTCCAGAGTGCGGGGAGAGGTTCCGCCACGCGGCCCGTTTAAAAAGCCACAGGCTGGTGCACAGCGGGGCCCAGAGCCCCTTCCCCTGCCCTCAGTGTGGTAAAGGTTTCTCAGTGCTATCAGGACTCAAGAGACACCAGCGGGTGCACACTGGCGAAAGCCCGTATGCCTGTCCACAATGCGGCAGGCGCTTTAAAGAGCTGGGGAACCTGTACACCCACCAGAGGATCCACAGTGGGGCCACGCCCTACTGCTGCCAGCAGTGTGGGCGCAGCTTCCGCCACCTGGGAACTTACAAGAGCCACCGCTGCACCCCCGCACAGTAACCTGCCCGGCTGCTACGCTTTCTAATACCTAGAAATTTCAAGTGTATGTCAAAGACAGGACATGGTGCTGACTCTAAAGTGTGTGTCTGTTGACACTGAGGGAGGTGCTGGTCATGTGGAGAACGGGGCTGGTATCCTGAGATGCTGCCCAAGCTTTCGTGTTATGTCACATTCATGACATTTCACATCTGCATCAGGCATCAAGAAAAGCTGCATCATTGAGTTTAAGTTCATTCTTGACCTCGGAAACAGTAGTTTGATAAAATGTAAACTCATCGTCTACATCGATTGCATCACATAGACTGCATCTGAAATTCCATATTAACATGCTGTTTAGTATGTATGTGAGGTTTTTTTTAGTATGTCTGAAACCTTAGTATGAAACCAGTAGTATGTGAATTGCATACTATTTCCAGTGAAACATTGCAGTATCTAAACACTGGAAACTAAGCCGGCATAAGTATCCCACAGTACAATGCGATATTGATATCAACATACATAACAGCAGACAGCCACCAAGGCAGCTCTGTAACAAATAATAAATACCTCTAACCTATAACTTTGGTCATGAGACCGGTGCCTGATGTGCAATTTAGGAAACACCATATGAAGTATTGTGGTAGGGATACCACTACAAATGAAAGACATATTACTTGATAATTGAGCTTTGTTATGGTTTGGGCTTTGGCGTGTGGCGTGGCTTCATGGATGTTGATCGTTCAATCCACCCCTTGAATCCAGACTGAAATATCTCAAACTGTTTGGATGATGTGCCATAAAATTCGTTACGTGCATTAACATTAGCTGTACTTGCTAAACATCTGCTTGTAGTGGGGCTTTGTATCGGCAGGAATCCAATATGTATTATGATACAGAAGTTACGATTGAATATATTGCTATTTTTATGCCTCATTATGTTTTCGGGTTGTTTGTAAGTCCGTCCGTCCTATTCTCGTGAACACGATATCTCAAGAATTCATTTATTAATTCATTTTCCATAACCACTTATCTTGTTAGGGGTCGCAGGGGGGCTGGAGCCTATTCCAGCCGACATTGGGTGAGAGGCAGGGTACACCCTGGACAGGTGGCCAGACTATCACAGAGCTGATACATAGGGACAGATAACCATTCACGCTCACATTCACACCCACAGCCAATTTAGAGTCATCCATCAACCTAAACTAGGTTGGATTAGATTAAGTTAGGTTTTCTCAAGAATGCCTTCAGGAAATTTCTTCACATATGACTTAAATGTCTATTTGGACTAAACGATAAACTGGTTTGATTTTGGTCAAGGTTACTGTGACCTGTGTCATTCTTGTGTATGCGATATTTTAAAGTCTGCTTGGCTTTAGAGATGATGAAGGAACTGATTAAAATTTGGTAGTCAAAGGTCAAGGTCACTGTAACCTTATGTCCGTGTTATTCTCATAAACACAATATTTCAAGATGTCCTCGAGCGAACTTCCACAATTTAGCACTTGGACCCAAGAATGAACTGATTAGAATTTGGTGGTCCAAGGTCAAGGTCACTGTGACCTCATAAAAAACATGTTTTTTGCCATTAAATAAGAATGCATATGCTGATTATGACAAAATTTCACAAAAATTACGGCAGCATCACTGCCTTGTGGGCATACAACCCCAAGGCTAAATTCTAGTTTTAAAATCTAATTTTAGGAAAACTTTTAGAGTAAAAACAACACACAACTATATCCAACTACAACAGAGGCATGTATATTTGTAGTTATCACAGTCCCTTAACATCCAACATCATAGCACTACATTTAAGGCAATCTGAGAAAAGGAATTAACATTAGCCTCTATCTGTCAAAAAAGAATAAGAGTGCTGTCAGGGTCCTTCAGGTAAACAAATTAAGAAAAAAAAAATGTAAACAATTAAAAATCAGTAGTGTTTTTAAAAAAATGATACATTATCACAAAACATAATATCAAACCTTTTTTTAAACCCCTACATTATAGCATTCTGATGTTAGCGTGCTAATGTACGCATCATCTGGCTATGCAGATGTCTGTTTGCCTGTTGCTTGCATTTGCTAACAGCACAAGTAATGTTGTCCCTACAGATGTGATGAAAAACCAAAAGCTCAGGAAGTTCATCAGACTTGCAAATGGCAATAGAGCTGAGGTGTACACAGGTTACCATGGTTACACTTGTCTCCAACTGACAGGAAGGCTCTTAGGGAGTGGCATGGTAATTACACCTCAGTGCATCCGAAAATATACTACTGTTTATGTACACAAAAGTATGAACAATGATGGTCAATGTTGTATACAACACATGGTGTAGTATACAAACATGTAGAGCATAGCATGTGATTTAGGACGCAGCAACTGACTCCTCATCACCAAGTGGAATTTGCTAAATTTTTGTCAAACTGTAGTAGTTCAAATTCTTTCATTTTCTGAGGACTTTAAAACTTCTTGTTTGTTGTAGTAGAAAATTAGCAAGTTTATTCTTGACCTAAAAACGAGTACAGAAACATCCATGACAACAGAGCAACCTCCATCCACTGATGGAGACTGCTCTGCTAGTAACCTTGGGCTTAGATTGTTCAGTTAAAAAGCCATCAGGCACCACATGGAGCATGTTAAGAGGTGACATTGTACTGGATGGCATCAGTGCAGAGGCTCATGAAAGGACTATCAGTAGTTTAGCATGTTTTAGCCCATTTACTATAATTTGTATGTTCTTTAAAGCAGTGGCTCTTAAACTTTTTTAATAATGCTCCCTTTTTGAAATATTTGTACAGCTCAGTACTCCCTGACCAGTGCAAAGATTGCATTGAAAACAGGAATATTGAATATAAAGTATCAAACTTTTACCCTTTTAAATTGAACTTTATTATGGTATAATTGTTTTAGGAATTAAGCATGACTGATACTTTTGAAATTAACATATTAAAAAAATCTTACCTACCCCTTGCAGAACTCCAGAGTACCCCTAAGGGTACCTATACTCTTTTATTTGAAAAACACTGCTTTAAAGGATCATTCCTGTTTATACAACATGGGTTTGTAGTATTGTCCATCATTTCTCTCAGTAATGATTTTGCACTAATTGACTCACTGTGCTCAAGTCCAATGGGGCAAGAAGCACAGCAGATGACCAGACAGGCTGGAGACAAACCCCCTGATCAGTCACATTTATTTAGACTAAAAGAGGATGGTAAACATCGGTAAAAATCTGTCACAGGTTACAGAGACACTCCTGCTTCAACTTTGACCTGCTGTACTTACTGTAGTTGTGTACACAGTATTTCAATGCAGTGAATTATTAGTGCTCACTCACCTTCATTTGACCTCCAAATAAAGTGTTTTAGATAATGTGGATATACTGTTGGCTACTTACTCAAGGTGTAAATAACCGTAATTATCCTGTAACATGTTTTCGGAAGCATATGGCAGCATATTTCAGCATGAAAATCACATTGATCAGACTTGAAAGGTGGTAATCAATCAAAGCAAACATGGCTAGAGGTAGGAGGGAGAAGAGTGTTCTGTTTTTTTATAAGAAAGTTCATGTATTTTCGGGGGGGGGTGAGATGAGATACAGCAGAGTTTGTCTAAAGAAAACTAAAACTGCACCAATATGGCAGCATTTTGGATTTGAAGCTGACGAAAGAGGTGTTCTAGCTGGCTGCAAACAACACGTTGTGCCATTTTGAGCTGAACCTTTGTTGGACGCCTTGCTTCTAGTTGTTTCCATTGCTCACTTTGAAAGCACCACCTTGGTATGTTGAAATAAGTAATTATCTGTACAGTAACTTCTTATTTCACTACAAAAAACAAAATAAGGGGGCAGCTTGCTGGAGGGAGATTGCCAGGGAGCTATAAATTTTTGGTAAACGACCATTGCTGTTAACAATCTACTTGCTGTTGGCTGTAGTCTATGGGTCTCATTCATGAAACGTTAGCAGAACAAATTTGTATGTAAACTGTTTACAGCAGGAAATATACGTCTATTTCAGCATTCATCAATATTTTAGTAACTAAAGTAGGTACTAACAAAATCTGCACCTTCTGAAGTGCCTGTGTAAATAAGGAATACACATAAATATTGCTTGTCATTATTAGAAATTACAAGTTTAATTTGTATTGTGCTCTGTTATGTTCACAATACATAGACACTTTTGAAACACATAAGTTAAACATGACAAAAGTTTAGAAATATAACATTTAGCTAAATTAGTTGGCAGTTAGCAGATACAAGCTTCAGAGTAGGTTTCTTAAAAATGTGAATGAGTTATTTAAATTGATTTAATACATGTGTTTTCTACATTTCTGGCATCCTGTTCCCACTTGATACAATCAAGAGAGAGAATTACACAAATGTGTCTTCTGTTTGAATGGCGAGACTGTGAGACCCACCTTACTGACCAAACACTAAACTATCAGTGATGGCTGTCAGAATGTAAAGTGATTTAACACTTAATATAACACGTACATGACCTGACCTTCTGAGTTTGCTGTTGGCTGGTCTAGTGGAGGCATGTTGCTGTCTCCATCAGGAATAATTTCTAAAAGAGACTGGGAAGAGCCTCCTGTTTCTGTTGTGGTATTTTTGTATGCGTTTATGGACACAGAGTTAATAGCACCTTTTACCTCCTTCCAGGCCTTTGATTTACCTGTCCCTGTCACACCACTACTAACAGAAGAAAATAAAATATCTTTTCTCAGCCCCACTTCACCTAAAATAACTTCAATCCTAGAGTCAGAAGTTTCTCTTTCTGTCTCTCTCTCTCTCTCTCTCTCTCTCTCTCTCTCTCTCTCTCTCTCTCTCTTTTATTGTTTGCTCCATGTTCACAGGTTGACAGGATGCACCTATCCATAGTAATTATCACCCCCATATATGGTGGTCACTGGCTGTTCATGGGTGGTGATATATGCTTATTGCTGACTGGTGGGCTGCCAATTTACGATTGGCTGGCATTTATGAACATACACACATAACTACGATCAAATCTGAGTTTCCCGCAACATTCATGAGTCTGATTTAGGTTTTTAGTACCAAGGTTTTTTATGTGCAGACCTATCACAGATTTACTAACTTTTCATAAATGAGACCCAGTGTCATTTACAGTACATATCACAATGTCAAACATGTGTTTTCTGTTTCTACCAGAAAGGGGTTTCTGGTAGAAAACCCTGTAGGAAAACTTCTCTCAGCTCCACATGATAGTCGGATGCTCGTTTGCTGTTAGGATGGGTTCCACTTGGTAGTGGCTGCCAAGTCAATGTGACAGCTGGTGATAATATTTGGTATACCTGTCCAGTTCAGTGTTTGGCTTCATATCAAACCAGGTTGAAAAAATTCTACAGCAGCCCAGTCCTGCTTCAAAGCTACAACAAAATGGTAGCACCTTTATAAATTTACTGTAACTGACATGAGTCACACCTGCATGTATACCTGCTATATGTGATAGAGCAAAATTCATATTTTAGCGGCCATTAAAGCCTACAGGGGTGGATGTTTGATTATACAACCACATAAAATCTAACATTTAGTGTCATCTACTGAGGTGTGTGACAGAGTGCTGTTCACATGTATCCAATGATGCAGCACTATGTAACAACTTTTATATGGGTTAAAAATCCATCATGGCACAGTAACTTAAAGTCAAACATGATGCTGACTGAATTACTTGTCTCAAATACATTTCAGTTCTCTGCAGTATTTAATGAATGGCTGCCAGGAAAAACAGGACTTAACTGTGGTACGAATGGAAGATGGTCAGGAGTGAGCCTTGAGTTTTGAGTTGACATGCTGATAGATATAATTAAAAAAAATATACTATGAATTCATGTCACAACTTTCATACTAATACACATGGTTTAAGCACAACAGGAATTCCTACACAGAGAGGAAATAAGATTAACATTAATCTTAGGGAGAGACTTTTATTTGTGAAATACAACAATGACAAAAGATCAAAGTCTTTGCAGTATGAATCCATTTATTAATTTGGCCTTAACTTGCTGATCCTCCAGAACACCCTGTTAT